CATTATTGAATATATTCTTCAAATATAGTTTTTTTTTTTTTAATTATCCAAACCAGTGAAGTGGAATGAAACTCGGTTAGTAAAACGATTCAAAACTTAGCGAAAAGTATTTACGGCCAAAGTTACCAGCTCTATTACCTGGTAAAATTTAACGATATATTCATGTATATGCCTTATTAACTAAAAACTGAAAGCCGTATTTTCATTTAGGCTCTGCTAACCCGCGCGATTGAAGCCAGAATACTGCCGACTAAGTAGGACCAGTATTTATACTAATAAATATCTTAATTTCGATCCTAGAAATCTTCTTTTACTGCTCAATCATATTACTTCTAAAGCCTGGAATTACATCTTCATCTGCTAAGCCAATCTATGAGCCATTTATTTATTTACACGTCATTAAAATACAAGAATGCACTTTTCGCGAGAGGGAGAAGACAAAAAAAAAACAAAAAAAAAACCGAAAGACATTTTACGATTATGCTGCCACAGGCAACCCAGTTAAAAAAGCAAAGGCATTTTACGACTTGGCTTCCACAGGCAACCCAGTACAAAACCAAACGCATTTTACGACTGGGCTGCCACAGGCAACTAAAACTAAAAAAAACAAACTAAAACCAGACTTCGTGTTTTGGAGGAATTTATTCTTCATAAAGAAAGGTCAGGAAGTCATAATGAGTCATAATTGCCCATCTTACCAGAAAATTGGGCATTTAAATCAAGCGAAATACTTTGATCTCTGTAATTACGAAATTAAGTCAACAAAATGCAAATTAAGGGCACAGGGTAGTATCCACGAGTTCACCAAAGGTAGTTTGATTAACTCGTGGGTACGCTAAGTATGCGTATCACTCGCTCATTCGCTTACTGAGATACACCTACTTGCAAGAAGGTTGTCATACAAGAATAGAACATTTTTAATTTAGTAAATTAGTGATTTAGTAAATTTACCAATTAGGAATAAATTATCACGAACGTCAGACTAACTACTAACATATCAGAAACGCCAGGCAGCGCTAGAATTCGTAGTTTTTGTTACGTTAGTTTTCCCAGTCTAAAGGGAAATTCTTTTAGCATTGTTATTATGTCAACCTATATATTTACTGTATAATAGCCACGATGTAACACGAGCAGAAACGTATAAAAACAAATAGTGATATTATTCTTTATTTATTCATTTTCGTTTTAATTTTGAAATTACATCTTCATGTGCATGCCGGATACATCATGTTGTCCAAAACTATTTTTTTCTTACTGATGAATTCGAGTCTGACGTCAGTGATAATTTATTCCTAATCGGTAAATTTACTAAATCACTAAGTTACTAAATTACAAATGTTCTATTCTGGTATGACAACCTTCTTGCAAGTAGGTATATAAGCAGATCGATATTTAAACGTTTATCAATCGTATTACATCATCTGCTTACGAACGTTACGCGAAACTTACTTTCGGACTTCAGTACAATCAAAAAGTTCTTATCTAATGTAGAATCTCAATATTCGATGTGGGATGATGTAAAGCTTGACCTTCGGATCTTCAAAAGAATCAAGAAACGATCGGTTCAGGTTGCATTAGAAAAAAAACAGACTCTAAAAACTAGAGAAGAATACCGTTAATGAGTATAACAATCATAAAAAGGCATGTAATTTAAATTTCTTTACTGGCTTAATATTAAAGTGCACATGAACCCTTCGACAATACTTTCAGTACTGATTCTGCATAAAGTAAATAGTTGATTGGTAAAATA